GCAGCCTTGGTGGAGCACAGCCCTGTCACCAGTCCCTGGCTGCCAGTGGCACTAGACACCCCCGCCCATGGGAGACGTGCCCACAGACTCCACAGACCACCATCCTGGCAGAAAGGCGACAGCAGTCTGACTCGGTTCCTTTCCCACCCCCTCCTTCGCTCTGATGGAGCACCTCTTCTCCTCTGTTTGTTTGAAGGACTACTCTCTGCAGGGAGAGCCAATGAAAGGGAAAAAGGATATTGAGCCAGTGGAAAGCAAAAAACAAAGGTTGGCCAGTGTCACCAGCAGCGAGAGCTTTGCAAGCTCTGGGTTCCAGGAAGATAAAAGTCTGAGAGATGTGGAGGAGGACGAGGAGGGTAGGTATTAATTCCTTCCTGTCCCTACATGGGTTGTGATATTTTTACAACATACTGTGCATCCCTGAAATTTTTTTCCTCATTTATCACCCTAATAAACATCCGTGGGAGACGCTCAGAGGGTCATGTCCAGAGGATAGAAGATTTAAAAAAAGATTATTTCCAGGGTTACTAAATCTGACAGGAAAATGTGTGATTGTTTCTTCTGACTGCTCCTTATCTTTGGGGAAAACACAGCAGTGTCCAAAGCACGGGGTGTAAAGCAAGAACTATTTTTGTTTCCAATTACAGTGGGTTGACCTTCAAATACCACTCTGTGAAAACTGAATTTATGGGAGTAATGGGGTCTGTAAGAAAGGAGGAAAATAACCGTGAGTGATATTTGTAACAAACCCCACTTTCTACCTCTGCAGATGTTGATGATCTGTACAAGTTGCCCCTCACTATGGAGGACCTCATCTCTTACAGCTTTCAGGTGGCCAGAGGCATGGAGTTCCTCTCCTCCAGAAAGGTGAGTTTTGTGCTGAGGATTTTTCCCTGCAGAAGGATGGGATTCAGAGGGGAAATCATGTCTACATTTTAGTGACACCTTCCTTGGGAAAGCTCCCAAAGGAAGAGCCATTTTCCTCTTGGTGTTATAAATATAATGGTGTGTTTATCCAAGTCTCCATAGTCCATAAACACAGGATCATGACTGAAGGCAGTGGGTCAAGCTCATTCATTTGGGAAAGATCTTTTGGGTGTGGTAGGTTTTTCCTTAATTTCAACATATATTAGATGGGGAGCTCCAAATGATTCAGCGCCTTCCCTGCAAATGTCAAGGGGCTTAAAAATTTATCTCCTCCTGGACTTAAGAATTTATTTTTTTTTTAAAGAATTACCACTGTTTACAGTAACTTCATGTAAACTATAGTCAACTTCTCTAAAAAAAAGTAAATTGATCTCAATAATAATAACAATAATAATAATTTTTTTAAGGATATGGGAGACAGGAAATTTGTGGGCAAGAATAAGGAAATGCAGCTTGATTGTGAAACTGCTTTATTATAGTGCATTCATCGTGACCTGGCAGCCAGAAACATCCTTTTATCTGAGAACAATGTCGTGAAGATCTGTGATTTTGGCCTCGCAAGAGATATTTATAAGAATCCTGATTATGTGAGAAAAGGAGATGTAAGTCAAGATGCTTTTTATTTGCCCAAGTGTTTATAACATATCATTTCAAACTGTCCACCAAAATGTTCTGTAGACATTCACATTTCCTGAACTTGAGAGCTCAAAAGCAAAGATGAGCTATCCAGATGTGTTGAGGGTCTGGAAAGCATTTCTATCCTCAGGCATAAGGCTTAGACATGCTAACTGCTTCACAGCTCTGCCCCATTAATACTTTCCTTTTTAGACGTGTTCCTTGGCTGGCTCAGCATAACCCCCTTACTCAGTAAACTTCTTTCAAGGAAACCAGTCCCTCCAAAAGAAGGTGTGTGCCCCCCGGTGCTCCCGAGAATCTGCTCAATGGTGCTTCTAGGAGCTGAGCAGGACTTGCTGCCTCCAGCACCTGCTTGGTGGTTGTTTTGCTCCTGCTGGAGAGAGCAGGAAGGAAGCACCTTGCCAGGTCTGACGTGAAGGCTGGGTCAGCAAACTGCACCTGCACCCACTGGTGCCATGGGAATGTGGCGTGGGCATGGGAATTTGCTGTGGGAGTGTCACGTAGTCTCTTTCTGGAGGCCTCACCCAGCTGCCAGCTATTCCCACATCCATAAATAGCTTTTGAGATTTACAGCATTGCATATTAGCTGGGAAGTGTTGTTCACATAACTTGGGTACTGCTCAGGAAACCCTAACAGGCTGTGCTGAGCGGACTTCAAGGGTTGCTGATGTACTCCTGCAATTCAGGCTCTGAGAATTTCCCTCAGAATATCTCCAACACTATCACAGAATGATTATGCTTAAATGCAGGGTTTTCTCCCCTGTCTCTATGACACAGGCAAGAGACCTCTGTTCCTTCGTATCCCAACATCCCTGTAAAGAAAAGGCCTGGTCACAGGTTTCCAGTGTCTGGTGTTTTGTGCCACACATATTTTAAAAACAGCCTTTTACTCTTAACAATTTGTTAAGAAAGTGTCTGAATGAGTGTGGGTTTATCTCGACTACCTGCAAGGAAATCCCACAGGTTCTTGTTGAATGGTAATTATTTACATAACAATATAGAGTTGATTCATCTATGATTAAATTCTTTTAGGCTTTGAAAATAATAGTCAGGTTTGTCCCTTTTACTCCAGGCTCGACTTCCTCTCAAGTGGATGGCTCCTGAATCCATATTTGATAAAATCTACAATACAAAAAGTGACGTGTGGTCCTATGGGGTCTTGCTGTGGGAGATATTTTCCTTGGGTATGTTAACTCTGCACATTGGGAGCTGGAGTCAGCAATGGGGACTGAGGCTTGGGGAAAAACATCCATTATCTTCAATGATCTTTTGACAGGTGTTTAATAAAGAAAGACTTAAATAAGTCAGTGGTGAGGTGTGCAGATAGAGGCAGAGGGAGTATCATGACCCTGTGGACTAGAAGTTTTGGTGCTTGTAAAGCACACTGAAAGCTCACTTGCCACGCTGAAAGACTTAATGGATAGCACAGCTGTCTGAGAACTTTTCCACTTACTTCTGCCATGACAAAAACCTAAGCTTCCCTCTTTTCTCTGTTGAAACCCTTGGTAGAGTTTGCAGGGCAGCACAGCCAGAGCAGTTGCAGTGCTTTGTTTGACTGATGCCACAAAACAGAAAAATAAGGCAATTTTTAAAGCATTTTTTTTGAATGTGGAACTCCATGGGATAACACAGAGCTGTGAGCATGAGTCTTCAGTTGCCCAGGCCCAAGGCATGGGCAAGGCATGGGCCCATGGCCCTCCCATGCCATAAAGAGCATTCAAGACACTGAGTGCCATGAGCTGGGTGCTCTCTCAAAGGTTCCTTATTTCTCTTGTGGGAGCAAGGGAGTCAAACACAGAGAGGTATTTGCATGTATCCAATTCTATCACCTCCATTTCCATCCCAAGACCAGGAGGTCCCCCCAGTCCAGGAGGGATCCAGCATGCCACTCACCCAGGCTACTGGATACAGCAGGTGAAAAGCATCTGCACAGATGCCGCAGGATGAACTGGAGCATGCAATCTGAAATTAAAACCCTGTGAAGCTTTTTCCCCCCTTTCTTTCATGTAGAAAAGGCAGGATACAAGATGTACACTGAGTGGGAACAACAATGACCGTCAGAATAGAAGAATCTTAATTGAGTTTAACACAGAGGCTGACAAAAGAGGCAAACAGCAGAGGAAACAATACTATACAATTCTCAGGACAATCAATCATTTATTAGTTGAAATACATGTTGTTGGTCAGCCTGCCAACTCTTGTGATTTTACAGTCAGCTTCATAATACCTGCTATTTTTTTCTTAAAGCCCCAGCTCCTTGAACCTGGCAACTCTCTGATATCTTTGTTTTTTTCTTTCATTCTCCTTTTTCCTGATTTTTTTTTTTTTTGGTCCACAGATAAAAACCCAACAGCACAATCAGGCTGCATCTTAAAAACAGAGAAACTAGAAAAACAATGCAAATGTACTGTGATCTGATTTAAAACAAAGATTTCAATCTTTTTCAAGGTGATTTTGAGCATTTGGGGTTTGTTAATACTCTGCTTACTAGAATTGGAGTAGTCCAAGCCAATAGAAAGATTAGACTTGGCTTTTCAAGGGATACTGTTCAAGTCAAATTCATGTGTATTTTTTTCATTCAGGCCAGGTAAGCACCGCAAATAGTTATGGGTTTGATCTTGCCCCCCTCCAAGGACTGGGGCTTGGAGCACCACCACCAGCAGTTCCCTGTCTGTGGCAGCTGGCAGGACCAGACCTTGCAGTGGAGGGGACATCCTCCAATCCCCAGCTCTGCAACCTGGTGCTGCACATCCCAAGTGTTCGAGGGAGATGCATAAGGGTTACAGCTAGGTCACAACTACCCAACTCAAGACAGGTATCTATTCTCCCAATGTTGCCTCCAGGCGCCTCTCCTTACCCTGGAGTCCAAATAGATGAGGATTTCTGCAGCAGACTGAAGGAAGGCACAAGAATGCGAGCTCCGGAGCAAGCCACTGAGGAGATGTAAGATGCCTTTGCTTGCCTTGTGTACCACCCTCCATCCTGGCCTGCCTTGTAGAGTCTCTGTAAAAGCACCCTGACCGAGCCTAAGGAAAAACCTCAATCCTGCATCAGTGTTTTCTTGTGTACCCCCCACCTTGGCCCCCTGGTCCTCCCACAGGGTAGGAGAGGGCAGGGAAGGACATGGACCTGAGCCCAGTGCACCACCAGCGCTGTGCTCCAAAGGGAGCTGAGCAAGGAGGAGTAGGAAGGTCATTCATTCCTCGCCAGGTTTAATATTTACTGACATGCACACAGATAAGTGCTGGAGGAATGTGACATTATTAACATTATCTTGACTTAGGAAGTGAAAGCAGAAGCTTCCTTGCAATCACTCGGGTAATGAGGGTCCACCCTTTCCTGTACACAGTGTCTGATGGCAGAGGAAGGTGACAGGGACCCGCAGCCTCCCAGCCCATGTCGTCCGAGTCCTTCCACCATGACGTCGGCTGTTGCTCCCCACTTCCCTGCCTTCAGGTGCAGCCTCAAGCTGCTACTGCATGGCCAACACCTTTTTGGAGACCTAGGGGGGTCCGAATGAGATTGTGAGTTTGCAGCCCCTCTGCCCTGGAAGTGGGACAGAGCACCTTGCCCAGGGAGGCACATGCAGCACACTGAATGTTCACCCCATGAAACAACTCATTGAGAAACATGAACATATCCCAGGTGTTTTATCTCTGGAGGCAAAACCAAATACATGTAGGTGTCTTGGTGCCTTTCTGAGTGCTATGTCGTGACTCTAAATAGCAACACTTACCAAAAAATAATTCTGGAAGAAGAAAAGGATGCAAGTCAGCCATGCCTATCTGGGATTATTGCCCATCGGCTAATTTTATTATCCTAGTGACCGCAGATAAGAACTTTCTTTTTTCTCTTCCACATATTTTATTGCAGGAAGGAAAGCTCAGCTTGACCAATACAAGGAAGTGACACGTTCATATAAGTCATCTTACGATGCCTTAACCTAAACATTGCCACCTAATAGATGTTTAATATAAAGATTTAATGCTTAATTAGGAATGAAAAAAAAGCAAGTATGACTAGCTGGCTAAATTATTCTTTTGATGTGGTCTTCCAGGGTCTTGCAGGAAGGTTTTCTTTCTTTTTTTTTTGTGGAAAGTTTACTGTTTTACTTTTAGGAAGAGGCCTCCGTGGCATTAATTTTTGTGAAGTCAGGCAGGTTCAGAAGTTAACTCTATCACTGACAAGCTGTCAGTGACTGCGCTGCCTTAGATCAAATTGAGCTGTAACCCTGCCATGTGCTCACTTTGCTTTTGTCCTCACAGTTACCAAATCATGCTGGACTGCTGGCAGAGCAATCCCAACGACAGGCCACGGTTTTCCGAGCTGGTGAAAAAGCTGGGTGACCTGCTGCAAGCAAATGTCCAGCAGGTACTAATGTCAAAACCACGTCCTGTCACCAGGGCAGGGGTGACTGGCCACATGGTCCCCGGAATAACACTTGCGTTTCTTGTTTGCATTTAGGAAGGGAAAGACTACATACCCCTCAGCACAATATTTACAACTGAAAGTGGGTTTCCCCATGCATCTGACCCTTTGTGCAACGAAAATCTTTCTGTTACAAGCTCAAGTTCTGGAAGCACTGAAAACATCAGGTGAGACAAGCAAGATAAAGACTGAGGTTTTTTGTTGGGGATGGTAGCTTGCTGCATAGCCTGGATCTGGATGGGAGAAAACATTCAGATGTGTCCCATCAGCCACTGAGCCACCCACTGGGCTGGGACAGCTCTTTGCAGTGTCCCTGCACAGGGGTACCTTCAAGTCACAGGGCTCAGGCACTGTGAGAAGGGCAGCTGTGTGCACTCCACAACTGGGGAGTGAGGTTTGGGTGGGGTCCGGTTAACGAGTCCCTTTTGTATGACCTGCCTCGGTGATAGCTGGGAACTGCCTAAAGAAACAGAGACATATACAGCACTTTCTGCTTACGCACTTCATACTCTCACCAAAAATTCACCTGCTTTTCTTGTTGAACAGATACATAAACACTTTCAAAATAACTCCCCACCAGTGCATAAAGACATTTGAAGATCTTCCCATCAAGGAAACACTTGTATTTAATGTAAGTGACTCCTGGGCCACATGGTGCACTGTGTATTTCTTTTTATTTGTGTGAGAGATTTATACAGGGATAATCAAGACAGGGGGGGTTACTGTTTTGTCAGCTCTACTGATATAAGGTGCAAGATTAGCCGTGCTTGCAACAAGATGTTATCCCACTGCTTTACAAATTGGGGTCAGCATTGTTGACCATGTCATAGGCTGTAAACACTCCTCTGATAAAAAGTGGTCAGTTTGAGTAGGTCTGCAACGTACAGCTGCCAGAGTCTCACCTAAGTCCCACTGGTGTGCGAAAGACGCTTAAAATCCCTTGGATTTGTGTTTTCATCTGAATAGGAGTGCACAAATGAGAATTGTGAGTCACATTTCCATTAGAGGGCCCTGGTAGGAACAAATCCTGTTATCAGATGGACAAGATGGGGACATGTCAGCTAATGGGACACACATACAATCCTGGTAGGGGTGGGCATGGGTGAGAGGTTAGGGCAAGCTTTTGGTGACCCAGTTGTATGCATTAAGCAATAGGAGGTGGGAAAGGCACAGGTGGTCCTCAAAGGATTGAACTATGGGCTGGCCAGAACCTCACATTGCATGTAGACACTTTTCTTTTTGCACCTAGTATCTGCATTAACAGTATGTGTTTGCTGGACTCCAAAGCAAGGACAGTTTGGAAAGGCACCATTAAATACCTGGGCACTGCAGCACCTCCAGTAGCACGGAGCTGCTGTCTCCTAGATCCCTTTCAGTATCGGCAACAAAAAGGCTGCTGGAAATCAGACCAAAAAGGAATTGAGTCCATTGTCAATTCTATAGTTAACACCTAATATGATTGCATCTTTCTTTTTTCTTCAAGGATTACCAAGCAGATAGTGGGATGGTTCTGGCTCCAGAAGAACTGAAACGCTTCACATGGACAGGCAGCAAGCAGAAACGGACACTCTTCGGGTCTGTATTTTATGTTCCCTTCTTCTTACGTTTTAGAGGGCAAAGAAGGATTCAAGGTCCTTGTGCTAAACTGTGCCTCATCAAAGTAGCGAAGGTGTCCCCAGTTCCTGCAAACACTCTTGGTGAGGTGTGTCCCACTTGGTTGAATCAGCAGTTGATCATCTCCCACACCTGACCCTCTATATTCCTTTGAGGAAACAAATAACCCTCAACCCCATTGATGCACATCAGCAATATGATTTATTAGCACTCTGTTGATCCACCAAAGCCCCAACCTAATGCCGGGCTGGACAAGTGAGTGTCAGAGAGCACTAAACTAAGGTAAGAGGCAGGTAACTGTAGGAAATATGCTGTTGATAATGGAGGAGGAGGAATGAGCGGCTGTGAAGGATTTGCAGTTGTTTCTGCAAGTCCCCAAGGGCACCCCAGTTGGACAAGGACCTCTGGGCCTGTTTTTGCCCTTCTTTTCCATGACTCAGCTAAGCACAGCCCATTTAACACCCATGGGCTCAGGATGCTAAAGTGGCAACTTTACAATAGATGGATGTGAGGGCCTCACTTCTCTTCCTGCCTTTAAGCACTTGAATATATTGGCCATCTTCCTACACCTAATTCCTGACAGCTGCCCAAGCAGGGAACTAGGGCTGCCCTAAGAAATGAGTTGCACTGACATGAACTCTCTGCAAATAGGAAGTGTTTATTTTCTCAATGCCGGCACTCTATCAGTTCCCAGCCACTGCCAAGCTGGAAGTGTCCTGGTTTCAGCTCAGTGCTCTCACCCTGCCCAGAGACTGGCCAGACCCAATCCATCATTCATCTCACGCTGGCAGGAGGTCAAGGCCATCCTGCCATTCTGGCCATGCCAAACTTGTCAGCGACTTGTAATTGGGCAGGCTGAGAGGTGTAGCATTGTCTCGACGAACAATTGGAGCTGGCTGAAAAATGCAGTCAAGGCAGAGAGGACTCACTTTAAGAAAAATTCCAGTGACTAAGAGGGCGTTGATTGAAAGCGCAGAAATACGTGTATGGGAGCGTGCACACACACACAGCTGAAATACGTGGCACAAGTAAGTGTGCCGCTGGCAGGAGACTGTACCACACGCAGGAGCACTGCTCATGCATGGTGAAGCCAGGGCAATCGAAGCCACTCCAAACAAATGCTGGGAAACCCTTCCTCCTGCCTTGACCTTTCAGAAAATAGGCTTGTATTTGTATGGTATTGTATTGTATTTCAGTTCTGTTGAGGCACACTGTCTTTGGTGGAGGCAGGTACCATAGAGCTTAAAATGTGTGTGGATACTACAGGGCTCCAAAGGATGCAATGATCCCTAGAAGCAGTTTAACTCATTTTTTCTCTGTGTAAACATGACATTTCTGAAGGCTGCTGTGAGCCACAGAGACAACATGGTCACCTTCCCCAATGAAATTTATGAAACGCCTATTTTCTTTGCATGGTACGGAATGCATGGAGTGTGGCCCTAACAGCCCTCCAGAAGTGCTTAAGGGGGCATTTTTAGCTGCTGAAGGAAAAAGGAATGCTTTTGGATAGGAAAAAAACTGAACTCAAGAGTGGTTGCTAGAACCTAAAACCTTGGGGAAACAGAGTGGTTGACTTAGGTCACACAAAGTCATCTGGCCTGCAAGCTAAACAAGTGGTACTGTAGTGCTGTGCCAGAAAGTATTCTTGTATGTGAATGCAGGCAGTGACCCTTTAGTCTGCACACGTTCCTAAAAGTGGTAGCTTCCTAGCTAAGCATCCTTTACTTAGGCTAAATTGGAGCAGTAAATAAACGCCCCTAAACTTTGTACTGAGCAAGGTGGAGCCCGGAGTGGTTTGACACATCTGAACTCATCTAAGTAGATGCAGTCCTGCTTCTTCCCTTGCATCTCAAGCATCCTCCTCTGTCCTCCTGTGCTCTTCTGCTGACATTTCAGCTTGGCTTGTCTCACAGGGAGCTGGTTCAGGTTGCTAGATTATCAGAACAGCTCCAGAATAGTTCCTGAGTGAGCAGTAGCAGCTCACTGTCAGAGTAGCTGGTGCCAGCACCAGGCTGAGGAAGGGTTTCACCCCCCTTTTGGCAGTAGATTACCTACCATTAGATCCCCTTCACTGCAATGCCCCAGAGCACTTGCCCTCACACTGTAAACCTCACACTGCAGTTTAGGACACAGATGCAGACAAAATGCACTTGCAGCAGTGGATGGGTCCTGAGGCAAGGCTGAGGGTGCCGTGGGCCTGTGCAGGTTGGCCTGCCTTTTCTAGGATCCCATGGTTCCCTGTTGTCCAGAGCAGAACAATTGGGCTCAGCATGTTTTTTTCACTGTTCATAGCATCTGAACTGACATTTAAGCCAGCCAGGTGGTGTGATGCTTTCAGACCAGCACAGGGGGGAGGTGTGTCCTGGAGCATTGTATTGGAGGATTCAGACTTTGCAGGGCCACATCTGCCATCGCAGGGCTGAAGAACTGCATAGGGTGGAAGGAGCCAAACCTAGTGCATCCTATCTGTTCCCAGAAGCACACTCGGGGTTTGTTTCAGAGGAAACTAATGAGTTGACTGCAGGAGAGAGCCAGTATGTGCAGCAGTGCTTACTCAGCGTGACCAATCCGAGAGACAAGCCCAGGGGACAGCCTATCTGACAATGGAGGGGCACCCCACGGACCCCAGCAAGTCCCCTCCTCTTGGGCTTCCACTTCTCCTGCGTAGGAAAAGGCATTAATGCCAAAGCTCACTCTTGGTTTCACTACAGAAAAGAGCATCAGTCCAAATCCTGGTGAGCCCTCAGGCCAAGGTGGTGGCCAGGAGCACAGAGCAGAAATCATTGCAATGTGTCTTGGACTTGCTAATGCCATTGAGATGAAAATGATATTGTGAACAGCATGAAGAGAAATAGATCTTTCCTAATGTAAGCCCTTGGGTAACAAGATCCCAGTAGAAAGGTTTAAGGGCAGAGAAAGAACGGTGTGTACTCCTTTACAGATGGAAAGAATCCCAACTGCAACCCTTCTCTAGCTTTTCAGTACTGGGGAAAAAGCCCAATCCAAGTAAGCCAAAATCTTTGGGCTGAGGCAAACCCTTAAGCCAATGTAAATTCCTAAGCCAGAAAAACAGCGAGAACTCCACCTCCTGTGAGCTGGAATAAGTGTCTCAAGAGCCACAGTCAGCCTCTAACCTCACTCTGGTCCTGGACATGTCAGGAAAGCAGCAGCAATTTCATCCAACAGACAATCCCAATTAAGAGCTACTAAACACAGTTTCCAATTACATTCCTAGAACGGAAAGAAGATAGTCTACAGCTAGACAAGCCCTTTTGGACTGTAAACTCAGTCTCAAAATGAAGCCTGACTACAGATGCCAAAACCCTGTGGGCTCCCTTAAAGGTCTTTGAGGGAGTGCATGCCCAGTTACAGCAGTGCACTCAAGGTAAAATGAACAGATGCAGCTCTACTGATATAAAGGTTTATTAATTAAAGTAGAAGCCAAGTCTAGCTCACAAGAAAAGTCTCAGGACACAAAAGCCTGATGATGAATGAAAGGATCAAAGTGTGACAGTTTCAAGACTCATAACTTTGCACGCACACTCCACTTTTGCCAGCCCACTGCTCCATAAGACTCACAGTTACAATGTAAATCACAGAAACGTTTCTCTTTAAAGCCATCACAGAAAGTCTATTGAGTCTGTGACTAACCTTGTCATATTTACAGAATTTATCCCAAGGGCAATATAAAACTATGGGATGCATCTGCAATCCTTATCATGTGGGTTCCTCCTCATGAACTCCATCCATCTACAAATAAATGGAATGAGGTGGTCTTCTTGGAATTGGACCTTCCAATTTCCTACAGTAGGACAGAAGACAGAGACCACACTCCTTAAAAAGCACACAGGCTTGTGATTTAAAAATTTGAGAAACTGTGACATCTAAGAGAAACTGTTAGTTCTCCGTTTCCTAAAGAGGAATGGACATGCGCTACCAGTTCTGTACTTTTATTTAAAAACCTAACAGTGCAAATTAAAATGAAGAGCAAAACCCTGGGCTCTGAAAGCCTCAACAGATGTTTTGACTGTCTTCTCTGGAATTCAAGACTAGGGTTGCCAACGTTCCTGACCTTATAAACAGACAGGGGTGAATTGTCCATGAACTTCTAAAAATACAAGAGAAGGAATCTAATTTTAGGCATTGTGGTCCAACATGTTTACATTAGGATTTCACATGTAATCAATGATGGAAAATGCTCTGGCTTGTCCTTTGTCTATGGATAAATCTTTGGTATTGAACTCCAATGGTGTGAAAATTCTCTTTGCCTTAACTTTATTATTGAAAGAGCCCTTTTAAGCACTGCAATCTCTTAATACGGGTGAGAAAGTGCTGTAAAACAAAGTGTCTTTAAGAGTGGCTTGGTTAAGAAGACATGAAACCCCTCTTTGTAAAGGGCATCTTATAAAAGGCAGCTTACAGGATAACTGTAAGGTCCTTTGGACAGGAAATCTCTAATTCAAACCAACAGTTCATGTTAGCTGCCAAAAGAAGCCCAAGAGAGGAGATACCCAGACTTCATGCCCTTCCTCACAAACCCTGGCCTTTTATCTTAGGAATTCATCCCAGCATTAGGCTTTGGGAACACCTACATTAGTAGTTTTCTACTTTTGTCCCAAGGCTTGAGACTTTTCATTACTTCACTCCTGCTCAAAAAAATCCCAGTTCCCTTTGGAAGAACATTTAGGCACGGGGACCCTATGGGGATGCAGAGCCCAGCAGGAGAGATGCCAGACACTCCCCCCTACTTTGCCCTGCAATGACATTTCACTCACCAGCATCTGCCACAGATGAGCCACCAGAGCTTAGGCTGAGCAATCACGTACTCCCTGCAAACACCAAGACTGATACAGTGAACACAAGCACCTTTAACAGTGATGTTCGGTCGCAGCTTCTCTGTTCAAAAGGGGACTCGGGGAACACAGGAGGGCTCCTTCATTTCTCTCTTCCATACTCTCATTGAGCAAGCCCATCAGCATCAATGCCCTCCTCATCATGTCAGAATAAACAAAGCTGCTTCTTGTGACCTGGCTTTGCTCCAGTCATTAAACCAAATGCCTTTACAGGTTAAGTAAGCTCACAGAGACACTTCTCTCTTACAGCATTAAAGGTGCCAGCAGGAGCAAGGAGTCAGTGCTTTCTGGAATAACCAAGCCAAGAAGCTTCTGCAGTTTCAGCTGTGACCATCTCAGTGACTCCAAGCAAAGATATACCTATGGTAATGCGGTGCTGGAGAAAATGAAAGCCAGCCATTCTCCGCCTCCTGAATATAACTCTGTTGTCCATTATTCTCAAACACCTGTTTAAGTACTTTTCTAGGCCAAGATCTAAATATGCATTTAATCCAAAAAGGTTCTTATGAAAAACTGTCAGTTTAAGAACTTTGACCCAAATTATGTTAATTATTATAAAATTTAGAAGGTTATCATTGGCTTAATCAGTGATCTGCTTTTCTACAGACCACAACAAACGTATTCAAAATACAGCAACATACTATTGCTTAGGCCTCGACTTTCCCAAATGCTCAAAACCAACAGCTGCTAAAAATGCCCCATGCTTCTGCATCCAGGAAAACCTGGATGTCCATTTATTACCCAGAAAACTAGTTCACTGTTTGGTTCCTGGCAGCAGAATGGCATTTCATGCTCTTGTCTCCAACCCTCTGCTCAGGCCCAGGTGCAGCACTGCTGTCCCAGTCAGGAGAGGCAGCTGGGAGCCCTAGAGAGCCAGGAGCCTGCATCAGGCACTAAGGCATTTACATCCTATTGCTGGGTTATGTGTAGTGCTGGAAAATAAAAGGATTCTTTAACAAGGTAGAAACAAGAAACAGACCACAAGCTACATTTTCAATGAAAACTACTTTGAGAAACTTGAGGGAAGGCTGATGCTCTGGGGAAGCCAAATAGGCTATTTGGGAATAGGGCATTTAGATGGATCTTACTACTTCAGATGGCACGTGTGGTAGGGAGCCTTGCGAGGCAAGAATTTAAAATGTGTTGCTAAACACAATGGGCAAGGACAGAGAAGAACTAAGACCAGAGCCAGGGCTGCAACAACAGGGAATACATATCAATTCAGTTTGGATAAGCCTGCTGAAATCAAGTAAATATTCTTGAAGTTTTGCACTTTGTTAATATGCCAACACGCACAAACTGGAACCAAACCACAAACTAGATATGTTAAAGCCAAGCTCTCCACAAAAACCTTGTGGACCTTCTAACACTGCACTGATTGTATTTTATTTATGGGAATCTGTCTGAAAAGACAGGTTGGCTACTAAACTGCATATACTTTAAATTAATTCATTGCTAGAGAGTTTGAAGAGATCAGTTAGAAATTACAAGACAATCTCCCTGTAAAGTTAGGGCAGTTTTTCTATGAAGAGTTAAATTTCCATGCTAGTTACCACTATATATGTACAGGAATAAACATGTATCATTTATTTGCAACTGACTTTGGTATAGCATCTCAGAACATCAGTGTTCTTTGCTAAAGCAGCATTAGGATGCACCCATTCCCTTTCACCTTTGAATGCAATATTAAAATGAGAGTTGGCCATCTAACACAGTAGCACTGATATCTTCAAATCAATTACTGCCCAATCTCAGCTTCTCATGGTCCACTAAAAATATATATTAACTCAAATGCTACATGTTATATGGTCTTGACCTCTTAGAATTCAGCTTAAGAGCTGTGAATGTAACCCACTAACAAACAAAGGCATATTTACCTTTTGCATATTTACAAACAAAAATTATCTTAGATATGCAAATAAAATAAATATGTACCACTACTTCTAAGCTAAGTATCAATTCCAGATCTTCCTGGCCAAGAGATCATCAGTATCTATTGCACTGTCTCTTGCTGGCAAAGTATATTGGACCTTGATCAAAACAAAAGTTTAAGAACTGTTTCCTAACTTTAATTGAACAAAAACAGTTACAGAATGATGCATCTCAGAGGAAGCGTTTGCACAATGTAAATATATAATTATGCTTTTTGTGCATAAATATTTAAGAAAAACTGGATTACAAAGATTACTTTTATATGAACCTCCTAAGTGTCTTCAGATGTGAATAACTCCTATTTTGTCTTGCATTTTCTGTCTTCATATAATGTATTTGACTGCTAAATTCATATAATAAAGTTTGCTTTTGAAAGAATTCAGAGTTCTGTCAGTGTCAAAGACTGCTGTGGCAGATGACTCAGCACTGGGCAGCACAAACATCTGGCACAAAATCCATCCAATGTGCCAGTTTTGTGAGCAAACAAGAATGTGGCATAACTCAGAAGGCACACTTCTCACACAGCAAAGCAGATACCATGAGAGACACTTGAACTGCTCCCTGTGTGAGGGACATCCCCTAGGTTCAGCATATTTAAGAAGTGCTCACTGCTGCCTAGAGGCAAAAATTCAACTCTGCCTCTGGGAGAGGCAAGGTTTCATGGTTGGGGAAGACTAAGCAGCCCATGAACAAACATCCACTCAACCACCCACCATATTCCTTCTGCAGCCAGAAGATCCACAGCAGACAAAAGGACACCAAACAGAGCTAAGGTGTCCCCAACAAAGCCTGTTCCAAAACTACTGTGACATCAGGTAGCACCTCAGGCCTGGACAGATGCTTTCTCTTCTTCAGAGAATCTCCACGTCCCCACCTCACCCATGTGAAGGAAATGGAGATGAAACTTTATTTGTGAAAGCAGAATATAATGGGATCACCTGCTGCCACTGAAGCGTGTAACTGCTGCTGCACATTACTAAGGAGGAAACTGGAGACTAGATATGTGCATCAATCAAGCTTATTGAAGCTTATATAATAACATTTTTAAAACACTGCAATTTAAGGGACAGTAACTCCATGTTAGATATATGCAGGGGGTACTGGCAATTTCACATATATTGCACAAAATTTCATAAGCATGGTCAGGATTGGATGGATACAGGAGATTTTATCCCACCAGCAAATCATCTAACCGTTGCTGGTTAAAAATACAGAAAAAATAATTCTGGGAAGTGAAGCTGTCATGACTCCACATGCAAATTCTCAGAGAAATTAATATACATTGTTATTGGGGGAAAAAGCTCAATAAACATGGAAGTAAGGGTACTTGAGCAGAGTTTTCAAAATTAGGGCTTATCTAATAAAGAAGACCCCATTCAACTGAAGCAGATTGGATTTGACTTGGAAATTAAGGAAATATGCATGAGTACAATTTAGTCAACAGCACCTGTACCTTTTAAAACATCTGATACACTTTAAATGGCAAACACTAAACACAATTTGTGACTCTTAATTGTTGAAACTCTGCATTGCAAACAGAATGAAATACAATTCCGGCACCAAAGTTGAAAAGCCCTCTATCCAACTTGAGAACTTCACATTGTCAAAATAAGGCCACATTACTTCTGGTATTCTTTATTAAAAATACTGCTGTACACATGAACAATGAAAACAGGATTAAAGATGAGTAACACATATTGGGATCATGACATTAGAACTTAACATACTGGTGCTTTTTAGGGGAAGCAGTTGACACCTGAATTACCGAAACAAGGGCAAATCAAAAATACATAGGTACCCTCAACAAAATATTTACAATATAGTAAATACGGCAACAGAATTTAAAACAGGTACAAAAATTAAAATGACCAACATCATATGATTTCAAAGGTTGTCCCTTCTGTGCTTTTAGCTGTAAAAATTTGGAAGGTCAGAAATAAATTTCCCATCTGGGAGGGCACATCCTGGTGACTCTTCTTTTAAATACAGATACACAGTTCTTCCTATGACTGCATCAAACTACAACTTTAGGACAACCTTCTAAATGGAATTAAAATGGGGTAGAGGGGTTCTCCCCAAAAAAATACCCAAGCTGAACTTCAGACTGTTCAAATCATTCCCAAATACAGATCAAATAAAATAAATAGAAAACAAAGCTCAACTTCTTTATTTTATGTATTACCTGACACCAAATATCTTCTGGCTGACATTATGTACGAAAACTTATTAGCTGTCTACCTTTTTATTTTAAACCAAGTCCTGAGGTCACTAGGGGCTGAAGCAAACTGACATTATGCAAATACACACAGGTTTGCAATTTAGACATGTCTTGCAGAGGGTGTGCTGGTCTAAAAAGGATGAGAATTCAAGCCCTATTTTACCCCTGCCTTACACTTCCACAAAATATTGGTCCACAAATTAAATTTTCAAAGGTTCCCAAACCCCACAACTGAACAGATGATCCCCTTTCATTTTCAAAGAAAACAATACTGGAAAAAACCTCAGCCCGCTTATAAATTAAGCATTCCATATTTCTTCTAGAATACAAGTACTTCTTTTTTGTACAAAAGAATTACAATATGATTTGTCAAAAAACATAGAAAAGACAGCTGCTCTTCCTCAAATACATGAGCTAATGATAAAAGACTGTTTTGCATGTTCACTTTTCAAAGTTCCTGTTCCTTTTATATTAAAAAGAACATTCTGGCAACTGTTATTGTTTGAATATTAAACATTGTGTTCCTTTTAAAATTGCAACAATAATCGATTTTTAAACTCATCAACTGATGCTACCTGATGTGGATTCAACCACATTTTCTAACATGTGTAAAGCATGTCCCTAGTCTTCAAAGCTTTCGATGTGAAGAGAGTTGCTTTTTTCTTGATGCAAGTCTCAAGGCGGAGAATCATTTTAAAGCTTATAAAAGTGGACAGAGAAATATTAAAAACTTCTCTGAAAACTACAAATATTGAGAATTATTAAAATTGATGTCAGTAACATCAGTTGCAAGTGCTTAGAGTCTGTCCTGACCTTTTGAGTTTCCACATTTTCTTCATGGTGAGCACCCAGTGCTATTAAAACATTCAGTGCTGGGAAAGGATAGATACAGTCTTCACTACTGCTTTAAGAAAGGAAATTCCTACGTATTTGGCAGTCTTCAGTATCAAAGTGTAGGTGTTTAACTAGAAATCCCATAAATACCCAAGTTTGGAGACAACTGCATGTCCAAATATTAGAAAGGTAATTGAGGAGGAAAATTCCAGACTTTTGAGACTGAATTACTTCAGGAATATTCATGTGTTGAGTATTATCAAAAGTAATATTACTTTGGGCTAAGCAGTGACTGCAAAGGCACAGCAGATCATTATCCCTCCAGATTCAGGCCGTAAAACTTGAAAAGCTCTTGATGCCAGACAACTGCTGTGTTTAGTTAATCTTCTTTTAACAGTGTCTTTGTATCTGTATCCAGTGTAGCGTACCATAATAAAGCTGTGGTTCAAAGAACAGAACTTTATACAAAAATTATACTGTAAATAACCTAAAGTAATACACTCCTGAAACTTCAGGCATTTAAACAATTTCTTTAAAAAAAAAAAATCTATTAAAAAAATTGCATAAATGTAAATGCTTCTGACTACCAGGAAAACGTACAAACAGTTTTTAAAAGGCGCTGGTTGTGTTTAGAGCAAGTTTGATATGCTCCTTAAATCATAGATGTTTCCCATTATGCTATTTTCGTCACTTTGCTTAGACAAAGTTTAAATCAAATGACAGGGGACTTTCTTTCCTTTTTTGTCAATTCATCAATACTTCACTTGACTGGTTTTAAAAAGTTTTGCCTTCTCACATTTCTTTGAGCTAACAGTGGGTGGCATACAGAGCTTGCATACAACACACTTTTACAGAGGTTACAAACTAAATGGTCATTAATAGAACACAATTTCTATTAAATGATTTACCTGGTCCTTTATGCTATTCTGGGTGCAAATAATATCAAAAATGAATAAATTTTGCTATATCTTCCATGACAAAAATGTATTCCAGAAATGTCCTTGCAAAGAGTTTCCCTTAAAGTATACAATGTGGCAAAACTTCAGAGATCAGAAAAGTCTTAAAAAAATTAAAATTAGTGCATATACAAGTGGAAAAAATAAAAGTAGGAACATCATGCACCTGATGTGTTCCTTAATCTAAAATAAATTCTTCACAGATAAAGCCTCCAATGGCAGCCTTAGCTCTAGGATAAGTGAAACATTCTTCCCTTCAAGTAACAGTGTACCTGACTGAAGTGCAAGCAGCTTTGCTCATCTCCTGTTTGTTTCCCAAATGTGAAATGAGATGACAACAACAATTCAGCTGTAGTGCAATTTGCTACTGGTTAAGTTCCTCAGCAATGTCCTGCATGCTTTCAGCAAATACTACAACTGACCATTTGCGGCTGCAATCAGTTCTTGAAAAGTATTTTCAAAGCAGCGCTTTAAATCGCTGTAAGTTACCACAAGTACACTCTTCTCATCTCTGGAAATGAGGCTTATTTTTTCTGGCACACCAGCATCTAACTGTAACAAGAATGCAAAAGATAAAATAAAAGAAGTGTGAAAGAAATGGCAAAACATTTCCCCAACAACAAAAGCAATCAATTTCTTGGCAAGTACATTGTTATGGTGCAGTTCAAATATGCTAACAGCACAGAACGGAAGGATCTGAATTGCACCACAACAATGTTCTTGCCAAAAAATCGAGACATTTTGGTCTTAACCTGATGGACATTCTAGACCTTAGGACTAGATTACCATTGTTTTCTTCCCTTTCCACAAGGCAAATAATCCTGCAATGCTATCCCCTTCCCTGTGTGGAAGCAAAATTTTCATACAGCTCCTGAAGAACAAAACTACGTTTGACATTACATTTACACATAAGATCCACAAGCCTCCATGTAGGGTAGGTAAATTACTTCTTGCCCACTGTAAAATGAGATAATGGATGGATCAGCCCCAGGTAGTCCAAAAACTGGTAGAAACCTGAACCTCACATTTTTAGCAGCACCGAAAGCAAACTAGTTCCTATATTTCTTATGATGTATGCTATATTTCATCCCTTAGGAAAAAAAGTTACCTTAGTATAATCCATAATCAAAGAGATAATTTGCTGTTGAAGATTAAAGTTTGTTCCACGTTTGTTTTCATGTTTTGTTCTGACTTCTCGAATTCAATATGTACTTTAGAGATCTACCATTAAATCCTAATTTGGAACAGAGGAATATCCTACTCACAAGTTGAAGCCCCTTACAACACTGTATCTTATGTTCTCCTCACTTTGCAATTAACGTTCATCAATGGAGAACCGTCAGACTCAGTTATAAAGCAAAACTTTTGTAGCTCTGTTTTAGTTGATATGTTGATATTTCCAAATACTTAACACTACAAACTTTCTTGTTCCAATACAGAAAGTGGGGCAGAGACAAGTCAATATGACACTATCGATCCAATCTTTGGAAATACAACCTGAGCGGGTTCAAATATATGTATTATAATGTTCTAATGAATAGCAAAACAATTAAATTTGTCACCAAGATGTTCCACTAGCTGCTGTCTGGAGCAACACAGCAAGTTAGCAATTTCTTGTATTTGTCTTTTAAAGTAATGTTATGAACATAACCTTAAAAGCTGGAACCTCCACATTTTAAAGCTCCTGCTTTGTGAACAGCTTCAGAAGGACAAAAGCAAGCCAATTAGATTTTAATTTTTGTAGAGTAGGATAAAACCACCACTGTCTTCCACCATCCATCACAAAATATTAACACTATCAAGGTGTTTTATGAAATATTGTCCACTGATCATTCCCATTATCATCATACAATAAATCAATGAATTACCTTAATGTAGGATAGGGAAGATCTGTATTAAGAAAGCCACACAGCTAACTAGAAACATCAATATTTATGGCTTTCTTTCTTTCCTCCTGTGGAGGCATAAATCAGTATCTCAGCTGAAAAGATCC